TGCCTGGTAAGGTACCTCAATTTTTTGTGAGTAAACATGTTTAAGTAGCAATATTTCTATGACAAACTCTTATAAAAAATTATCTGTTATTAAGGAACGTCTCGTCTGTCCTTAAATCATAATGTTAATCACAAAATCATGTTTTGGTGATTCTTTTCTTTATGTGAAGCTGATGCACGTGATACAACTTTTTCATTTGTAACAATCTTACCAAAACTTTGTCGTAAACTCCATCGTACAATGGTTGAAACCGTTCATCACTTTCAAACAAACAAAAAAGAGCATTTAATTGCTTTATATTGTGTATTTAAAAAAAACTTTTATGGGAATTTGAAATATTATCCATTGGATCCGGATCAGTTTCAAAAATATTAAAAATATTTGATACAGATAAATAATTCGTTATGAAGTTATGCCTGACAATGGATATGAATAAACATTTAAGTTTAGAAGATATATTTTGACAAGTGTCAAATTAAGAAAAGTTTGCAGAAAATTTTAAAATCAAATCAAGGATGAGCTATACAATGTATTTATTAAAACTGTGATGACAATTTTAACAATTAAAACTAACTGTTACAATAGCTTTATTTCTTTTATGGCATACGTGTCGAAAGTGGGATATTCCTATCAAAGAAATTTTCATGCCTTTTCAGGGGGAAAAATGTCGATGGGCCATTGAAGGAACAGAAACACATAAAAAAGATTGTAATTTGCGAATTAGTAAAATAGAACTAAGTGAAGATTGTCTTTGTGTTCCCTGTTTCATTGATTTTATTACATTTGTACAGTGTATTTTAGTTTTATTTTTAGAGACATGGTTCTTTTATATGAGTATTTTAACTTATATACATGTATATATTTTTTATACTTTGCATTTAGCAAAATTCATCACTAACAAACACATAAAGTGGAGTCTGTATTCTAAGCAGTATAAGGGTTGAATTTCTTGAATTCAAAAAATGTGTATTTTCCATGTTTATTTACAAAATATAAATGTAAGTCTTAAAAATCTTAATGTTTTTTTTTTTGTTTTATACTGTTTATGTGCGTATTTCAATTGCTTCTTAGAGCAGAAATTCCACATTCATGTACCTTATAACGGTCCTCTCTGGGAGAGTAAAAAAGTAAAATGGGTGACAATGGCATTATGAAATAAAGAATCTGTGAAATTATCATTAAATTGTATTCAGTGTTATAGGAGGAGTTGTGGATAAGAGAGTGATTATGCAAAAAAGGTCATTTTTACTTTAAAGATATGTGGAAGATTTTAATTGTATTGACATGACTGCATGTATTAAATAAAGAAGAATGTACATAATATAATTTCGAGTATTCCAAGCGTCATAAGTCCAGGTTAAAATAATGCATATTTGATGGAAGAGTTTATTATAGCTGTCAATTCAAGTCAATTTGAATATTTTCAGAAATCACTTAGAGCAGGAAAATACCCGTGATAATGAAAGTAAAAATTCTGCGAAAAAACTGCATTGACTAACAAAGAAAAAAAAAACTGGCCTTTAAATATCTCAAATATACGACGCAAAGTGCAAATACATATATGCATTTTTGATATTCATTCTTTACATTTACTAATATAATTTCTTGTAGATGTTTCAATTTATATGCAAAAATCGCACATTTAATGTTTTGCCTTGTTTCTTGTCAAACTGAATTCATTTCAAGCTGTACTTAAACTTGAAAATAATCAAGAGTAACTTGATTTATCAAAAATTCATTGATATAAATAATAATTAAATCGAAACTCTGTTGTTAATATCTCCGTTTTATTTTAAACTTCTCAATTGATGCATCTTTCGTAAAAAAAATCCGAATTGTTTTACTTGTGACATCCTTCTGATAGCCAACTTCACATCTGCTCCAATTCAAATGCTGACCAATTGAGATTGTAAGAGTAAGTTCATCAGGGTTTGAAAATATTATTTGTTTTGTTTTATTATTGCTTGATACATGTATCTCCATTCACTGACACATCAGCTACACTTAATTATTAATTTAAGATTATTTTTTCTCCCTGATATGGGGAAATTGAATTGAAGCAGGAATTATTTGTACATTTACTTTATAAATATTCTCAAAAATAATTGGCAAAAATTGCAAACGAAGTTATATTTAATGTGGAATTTTATGTTTTGTGTATACATATAAGTTCAGGTTAGATGCTAATACTGGTATTGAACAGTTAAAAGGTTATGTTAATAAAACTCTCAGTTCAATTTCAATATTTACAGAAAACTATTAAAAGCAGGAAAATGGCCTATAAATTGAAAATTAAGTTTTTACTTTAAATGTTTTTAAGTACATTCGATCCAGGTTTATTTGTTTAACTTAAATTTTCAGCACTGATTATCTGATACTTGAAAGATTTTCCTATTTTAAGTGAATTCATTATTATCCTATATTTCACCGCACTTTGGGTTTTTTTCCTCTTTTTTTTTATTCCATGCGTTTATACATGTACCTTCAATGCATTTTCTTCGTAATAAATATTTTATGATATTCACGTTGTCATTTACCCAAAAAATGAAGTCAAAATTATTTAATTAGTGGTTTTGTTTCTATAATTTCTACACGTTATTCTCAAAAATGTTGTTTTTCGTGTTTCATAATACATGTTTAATAATAGAGTCTATAACTGTCAACCAAAAACTTTCAGTATATTTTCAGAAAATTACTTATACATTGTGTAAAAGGAAAATACTCTGGAATCGAAATGTATTGAACAACAAAGAAAAAAATAAATGCTTTAAATTTTATCTGATTAAATCATAATGTTAATCACAATATCATGTTATAGTGATTCTTTTCTTTATGTGAAGCTGATGCACGTGATACAACTTTTTCATTTGTAACAATCTTAAACTTAAAACTTCGTCATAATAACCCCAAGTTGCAATTCCATTAAGGTATTTAACTTGAAGTTCACAAATGATGCATGTATCTATTTTTAAAATATTCCTTTTAGGGAAAAAAATCATTGACTTAGTATCTAGATTATTTGCAAATATTGTGACACTTTGGTTTTCCCTTATATTTTTAGAAATGAACAGATAGATAGCAAGAAAACATCCAACAAATCGAAAATGAAATAATGGGAAATTTTTCATTATCATAATAAAAAAGGGCACTGCACTGTGGAGCATTTCAAAGACAGCATTTGAAAGTGACCCCAATGCAAATAAAATGGCCTTTGGGTCAGGAAAACTTAGTTAAATTTTTTTTTTATTCGGACTGGAGGGTAAATATCACACTTTGACAAGAGTTTGTATAAAATTACTGTAAAGAACAAAGATGATTACTTTGCACTAAAGCTTTTTAATCATAACACTTTTAAGTAAAACATTCCTCTGAGATAATTATAATTGTAAATTCAATGTTAATTCAATTAAATATATTTGCAAAAATGCAAAAAACATGAATAATTCCCCTTCAAATCTCGGTGAATAATATATAAGAACTAATATTCCCATGGGACATGGGTTTTGCATACCAGGTACTGCTCATGCTTGAAATACTTCAACTTGAAATTACAGAAAAATGTTTTTTCCTTACTTAACCTATGCACAAAGTCTAAGAAACAGCCTTGATGTTAGGCTTGTCTAAGATTAAAAATTGAAGTTAATGATATAAACAATTCCAAATGTCTTTGGTTAAGAATTTAAACATACATGTACATTTCACTAACAAGAAATTTTTCATTCCTAGAATCTAAAACTTCCCTTCTGCAATACCATTGTTGTACATGTAACTTGAAAATGTCTTCAGGCCTATGTTCAACACCAAAGCTACAGACAAAATTTAAAGAGTAATGATGCTTCTTAGACCTTGACCTTTGAAAGTTTGACTCAAAAAAATTATGTAATTCTACTGTTTTTCTATTGAATTGTTTTGAGTAATACATCTAGGATAAAAATTACAGACAGACCAAGGACTTCCATTATAATGTGTAACACAAAGCTGTTCTTTCTCAACATAGATTTAAATATATCAAATATGATACAAATAGAATTCCATATTGGGGAATTTTTACATGAGGTGTTCGGCGTACCAGTATTTATTTCAATGAATGAAATTCGTTGTAACACAATGTTCCTGAGGAACTAAACAACATAAGACATAAACATTGAATAAATAGCTGCATTAATGTCACACATAATGCATGGGGCATACAACAACGGGAATTCAGGCTTATATTTAAACATCAGGAATACACGTAAATTAATTAATGCATGGTACATTCTTAGCAGACAAAGAGAACGAAATGTGAAACATTAAGGATAGGTATGCTACTCAAACTTATTGCAAAAGCCCTCAATGTAACCCATTGCTAAAATTACTAAATTTAAAAACTTCTACTAGATTTTAACTTTGACTGCATACAAAAAAATACAATGCTGTCTACATGTATAAATTTAATGTTAGAGTATTTACACCTAATTGGGCTGGGAGAAAATAAAGGTTACAACCACTCAATCTATTTTCTATCTATAAATCAATAAAATAATGTGTTTTGATAAATTTTCTTTTCTCACATTCAAATAAATTGCTAACTACACTGAATGTTAACATAAAAACATGGGACTTTTTATACTTAACATGTTACTAAATCCTTTAAAAATCAAAATTTAACATAATAAATTTATAAACACTACATAACAAATAACTAGCATAAAAATAACAATTGCCCAAATGTTATATGCACCAGGTTTTTTAAAATATATCACAGCATATTGAATCTTGCTCATAAATAGGCACTATGTGTATCTATACAACATGTATTTTTTGTCATTGACATGGATATTAATATAAAATATTTCAAATTTTAAATACATAGTATGAATTCATCAAGTTTATAACATAGATCTCATACATTTAATGTCTTCTTTCCTTTTTCCCCTTTAAATCCCTTACAAAAATTCTGTAGTACTTCCTTGGGTATCCTTGTATATAGTAAAAAATATAACTACTTTCTCTTATTTCTTAGTTTGACTTGATTGTTTTTAGTTCAAAGATAATTATTGGTTCAAAAAATATAGTCAATATGAAAAATTTGGAAGTTTAAAAAAAAAGTAACTTTAACAAATAAATAATAGGTAAAACAAACACACAATGAGAAGTGGCAGTAGCTATTTGTGGAACACAGCAGAGTAATCTCCCTTTCCTGCATCAGCAAATCAGGCTCCAGACTCATGATTCAGTTCCTGCAGTTTGATTGGTCAGAATCTGGTGACCCTGAAGGTCATTCACAGCAGTTATGATTATTTTGCAGAAGAAGCATTCCTTCTTTCCCATCATTTGATGACTGATGCACGTTCTATAAATAAGATAATTACAAATTATATTTAGAACATTTGCCTATCACTAGCAAAACATACAAACATACTGTCAAGCTCTGATCTTTAAAATGCATGTGTCCAACACTCAAGATATAGAGAAATCCCTTTCAGAGTAGTAAATAAAACTCAACACATTTACTTCAGAATTATTCTAAAAACTTTCGGATAAATTAAAAAAAAAAAACACTTCAGATTGAAAAATCTGAAAACCTTGACCTTTTCACTATGTCTTCAGTCTTACCTGCAGGACTGGTGTCCACATGGTTTAAACACTGCCGAGATAGGGTTGGCGTAGCATATTGTACACAGGTCTTCTTCTTTGATATTCTTTAAAATGAAAACAAAGCTTCTAAAATACTGTGAAATCATTAATTTTTGTAGGGGTTTAATTTTCGCTGTTTTTCAAGGCTTAAAGAGAACATCAGGATGACTGCCACATAATTCAAAATTTCATTTGCATTACTACTAAACATTCTCCAATTAAGTAATCAAGTCCCCACAAACCAACTTTTTTCCCTCAAACCTCGAAAATTTGATCCCATGAAGATATGGAATTTTGCAGTACCTCTTCACTGTACAGTTTGCATATGATTGCATTAAAATTTCATTTTATCATCTCCTGTTAGATGCATTCCAAAACTGATAAACATGAGAAATTAATTATTATTGTGTAAAAGTTCAATCCACCGATCAACCGCCTACCTGCGATTTGAAGTCTAAGGGTCATTTTACAATACTGTAAACCAAGTATTATATATTATACGCGTGCGATAAATATCCGCGAGTTCCGCGAGTAACCTCTGCTCGCGGATATTTATCGTCGCGAACCAGTTGTTCATTATATTCCCATATCATATGATTTATTTACAGTTATTTGCCCGTTTTTCAATACCGATCCCAACGGTTCAACAAGTAATCACGGAAGAACTTTACCGTTAGTGTACAAGGAGCAGTTGAAATTTAATTACAAACATTCAGAAAAAATAAAAACGAATGGCAAATCTAAAACTATTTGTCTAAAGATGATTGAAATGTCAATAATCATTTCTGCTTGTGTTATTATTGTTCGTTTATTGTTACAGACGAGTCAGAGATAGCCTGGTTAATTACGACTAATTATGGCCCAGTCCTGCTCTGTCCCAACCATTTATAATAATTGCCCCTTGGCCGTGTAGATCTTAGAAAGCGTCAATTTAATTACCCAATTAGTATGAGGCACTTTTACAATTGAGAGTTTTAAATCAATTTTAATCTCCTAGATTTTCCCCCGATTTTCGTTTGAGCGTTTTGAAAATGCGTATGAAGTATATTCATGGTAAACATTTTACCTACTTTAGGGGCGGATATAAGATTTTAAATGGACGCGATGCACAGAATGTTTTGAATAATGCGTAAGCAGACCTCACGCTACCATTTTACCTTGTTTATGGGCGGATATAAAATTTTTATTTGATTCAAAAATACTCGTGGAAATAAAAAAAATGTGACCACTCGTTCGCGGAAATAAATCGTCGCGGATAAGTTCTCTGGCGGTCAGTCGCGAATAAAAAATGACGCGTATAATAATTGGTTTACAGTATACAATTATGGACTTCAGTGTAGGTCGATATGTGGTTATAAAACTCAAGGCAATTGATATTGATCGAAGACACAGAAAGTGATAGCGACTGAGCCTCATTTCTGTGTCTTCCACCAATATCAATTGCCATGAGTCCTTATAACCACATATCGACCGTTCACTGAAGTCCATAATAGTTATATCATATAATCACTCAAATTGAATGCACTGACACAATCCTATCTGAACGGACTTGGCTGTCATTAAGTCACAATGGTTAAATTCACACTTCTTATATTATGACGTCACATACTACGTACTTTAGTGCAACCGAACGTGCGATATTATTTTTCACCGATGCGCTTTCGCATCGATATCACAAAAGGAGGAATATCATGTGACGTACTTTCAGCCAATGAAAACTATGAAAATAATCTTCTTATATAATATTATTAAGTATTTTATGGAAAATATAGAATCTAGAGTATGTACCTGTACAACAGTTTTGTATTTGACAATGTCTAAATTGAACAGCAACAACGTTTCTTTTTTATAAATTCAAACTTTATTCAATTTAGGCTATATATTTTTAACTTCCTTTCTTATTGAATTTCCTTTCATTTTGATATATGTACTGTAATGTTTCGGATGTTCATTACCTCGCAAGATTCCTCAAAGCTCTCCTGCTTATTTTTGATGAAGCTGATTAGATCTCTCACAGCTTTGGTTTCATTTTCACTCATTTCTTCACCTGAAAATCAAAATATGTCTTCTTTATGCTTGCTTATTTACCTCAATTTCTTGTAAATCCTCATAAAATATTCATTGATCCAAACTTAATTGATAATGCTTTTTCTAACAGAGTCTATCCTGTAGGCATAATGTTGAAATTTACTATTTATAAACCATATGTTTTCATCATTAACAAAAAATAACAGTGTATACTTCTTTTTGAAAGTGAGATAAACTAAGGATATGATTCTTATGTAAAATAAACCATTTCTGCAGCTACTTATACATGTTTAACATTCTACGTAAGTTTTGTAATTTTAACAAAATGTGTAAAGCCTACATGTTTCGAAATTGAAAATCTTTTCCTTGTCTTTCTTCCCCTTTGGCACAGTACTGGGTGAGGCTAGGGGGAGGGGAGTCCCCAGGGTGAACTCCAGGGTGGAGATCTGGAAGGCAGGGTCAGACAGCAAACATGATATCACTTTCTTCTGGCTGAAAGAGGATAAAACAAGGTCAAGGTTGTAGACAGCGACAACCAAATAATGTAAATATGACCTTGACCTTTAACTTTGTATCTTTGAACATCAAGATGCATTTTCCAACTTTTTTTTTTATTCTCTAAGCTTCAGTATTCAAATCATTGTCCAAGCATATTGACATAGACAGCTATTGTTAATTCACAATTCATGCTTTTGAACTGTGTTAAACTCATACATTATTTCTTCACTTTTAGCACTGAATGAAAAAAATATACATTCATTTAATATAACATGTACAAGCTTTACATGTACATGTATTTGTTATAAATACTTTTCATTACATGTATATCACTAGGTTTCTCGATAAACTGACCTTTTCTCACTGGATTTCATCACAAGCTGATTGAGGACCCCCACTGTCACGGCCAGTATGGGGTAATGTGACACGCCCTCCAACCCCTGGATAGAGTGACTGATCACGGTACAAAATACCCCACTCTTACTCGTCACTCGGTTCAGCACGTGACATAGAAGCTGTAAATTAATAGACTTATTCAGTAAAGTCCCATAGTTTAAACCATTTTCAAATGAAAAGGAAATTATCAAAACCATTTCTTGTACAATGTTCACTTGTTTCTTTGAAAACATTAGATTCAAAGAAATTCATTTAATATGCATACAAAAATTCTTGTCTTTTATACACAAAATTCAGTTAATATTTATACAAAATTTCTATTCCAATTTCAATAGCATAAAGTATTGGTAACTGCAGATTGAATGATTTCGTCTCATATGAACATTCAGCAGTTCTCTGAGGTAATACTGGCCCTTCATTTACAAACTATTTATCCACTCCCTCTGACCTGTACTAGCCTCCCCAGCAGCAGTTCCGCGGAGTCTCGGGAGAAATCTAACACGGTCTCCGGAGCGACACAGACCACCATCTCCAGGACCCTCATCAGACAGACGGCGATCTCAAAACACGTGGCACAGATCTTCAGATTACGAGCCTCCAAAATACGCAACTCGGTTCTCGAAACCCGCTGCTGAATCTAAAACCAATTGAATAGTTAAATTGTACATCTTTCTTTAGAAAACACTGTGTAATCACTTATTTTTGAGAGGGTTTATTTTTGTTGTTTTTGTGGTATGGATTTATTTTTCCAAGAAATGTTAAAATTGTCTATAATGAGTGCATAGTTTCTCCTTTAACTATAAAATTAAATCCCCTCAATTAAATAATTTTTCCTTATTAAACCATGAAATTTAACCTTTAGGTCTCGAAAAATAATTATATTACAGAGTGAATGAAACATTACATTAGTTCAACATTTATAATATATGTTAATAAAAAAATTGAACAGATACCTGACTCGTTTAATGTTGGTAAAGAGTGATCTATTCATATGTACCTCTTGCATTAATCCAATGAATTCAGAAAAAGACCAGTTCAACTGATTGATCAATGTGTCTAGGAACTTAGTGGCTGTTTCTGTATCAGTCAGTAATATCTCTTTGAAGATTTGTTGTAGCACCATAGAAGGACACGGTTCTGAAATAGAAAATAAGAGACTCATAGAAAGCAATGCTCATATAGTCAATAGCTTCTATATTTCCAGCTTATGTCTGAAAAAACTTTATCGCAAATCTCGCTTGAAAGTGTATACTTTGACCGACATAGTGATGCATTGAGTGACGACACTGATGAATCTGACTGAAATACAATTGAATCTTACTGACGTTCAATTGCGAAATCCAACAAAGAATCTGATTGGTGCTTTTTTATAGGCCTGCCCACTTTCTCAAATGTAAAGCTGAAAATACGGAATGTTTCCAAGAAAGATAGAAAAGCTGTAGAAAACGGGCAAAAAAGTGGTACATATTGAACTAAGTATGTAGTAGACCTATTCAATACCTTATTATTGTGAGTGTGGGTATCTGTAAAATGATCTTCAAGTAAGATATGTTCCAGAACTGGCAGCAGTTGACTTGAATGCATGTTCATATCAGGTCATATCGAGGGACATGAACACGGCCGTTTTTTTCTCCAGTACATTAATAAAATCAAGTGTACTTAGATTTGATAAATATTGTTACATTATTTATTTTTAACATGAATTACAAGTGATATTTATTATTTTTATTGAATAATATTTGTCGTTAATAAAAAGTGCACTGCATAAAAAAAGCACAAGGACTTAGATTTTTCTGGTTGCATGTTTTTTGCCATGACGACTGTTGAACATGTTGAAATGGGTATGCAGTAGTACACATGCGCGGATCTAGAGGGGGGGTCGGAGGGGTCAGCCCCCCCCCCCCTGGAATTTACAAGGTTAAAAAATGTATATACTAAAGCAAGGAAAAAGCTACCATGGACCCCCCTTGGAAAATGCTGACCCCCCTGGCATCCTAAATACCATTTATCCCCCCCCCCCTGCCCACGAAATAGACTTTTAATGTTTGGGTGAGTTAAGGTTTTGTTTTTTTTTTTTTCTTGTTAAGATATTTCTGGGATTGGAATTTTTTTTTTGAGTGGGGTGGACCCCCCTGGAAAAAATTTCTGGATCTGCTCCTGGTACACATACATTTAAAACTGTTAACATATGGCATTCTTGACAGTATTGACAAAAATACAGTAAACTTTTGATTAAATCCGAAGTTTTACGTTTTACCACCTATGAATTTATATATTTTTTTCACTGAATAACAAGTGCTCCGCTGTCAGCTGGGTAATCACATGATTTCCAGCAATACCAGCGTTTTCAATTTGCTTGTGTTTGCCAACTCAATGAAATAGCTCACGTGTGAATAAAACATATAGAAGAAAGATTTTTATTCCACTGGAATATGCCGTAAATAGGAAATCTGCAGATATACATGTAGCCATGTAGGATAAAAATAGTGTGCGCCATTGAACATATTCATGTAACGTCTGCGTAAGGAATACATGTATATCACAAGCTAAAAAATTATTTTATATTTTCTTTCTTGGTTTTTTCTTTTGGTTCGAAAAGTTAAATAAGCATTTTGACAATCAAACATTGCTATTCGCTAGGCCGTTGGACGCTTTCCAAATTATACCGTACAAGAGTGGGCAGGTCTTAATCAACCAATTAAAACGCTTGTTTTATAAAATGAAACCCGTGATTCAAATTGTTCAATTGTCAAATCCAACAGTGTCATCGCTCAATGCAATGGTATTTCGGTCGGAGTGGATACTTTCAGCGAGATTTGCGATAAACAGACAGACCAGGTAACCTGAAATGCTTA